ATACACAAGTATAGCAGTATGCACAAGTATAATAGTATACACAAGTATATCAGTATACACAAGTATAGCAATATACACAATTATAGCAGTATACACAAGTATAGCAGTATGCACAAGTATAATAGTATACACAAGTATAGCAGTATACACAAGTATAACAGTATATACAAGTATAGGAATATACACAAGTTTAGCAGTATACACAAGTATAGGAGTATACACAAGTATAGTAGTATACACAAGTATAGCAGTATACACAAGTATAGGAATATACACAAGTATAGGAATATACACAAGTATAGCAGTATACACAAGTATAACAATATACACAAGTATATCAGTATACACAAGTATACCAGTATACACAAGTATAGGAATATACACAAGTTTAGCAGTATACACAAGTATAGGAGTATACACAAGTATAGCAGTATACACAAGTATAGGAATATACACAAGTATAGGAATATACACAAGTATAGCAGTATACACAAGTATAACAATATACACAAGTATATCAGTATACACAAGTATACCAGTATACACAAGTATAGGAATATACACAAGTTTAGCAGTATACACAAGTATAGGAATATACACAAGTATATCAGTATACACAAGTATAACAATATACACAAGTATATCAGTATACACAAGTATATCAGTATACACAAGTATACCAGTATACACAAGTATACCAGTATACACAAGTATATCAGTATACACAAGTATACCAGTATACACAAGTATACCAGCATACACAAGTATAACAATATACACAAGTATAGATCCTAGTTATGATAGATACATATTGTGAGTCTGGTGGTGATAGATGTGTATTGTCTATTGCTCACCTTGCATCCAAATAGGTGGTTCGTAGTTGTTAAGACTGCCTGTACCAACCCGCAGGTCCTGAGGTTATCTTGAGGTTATCGTGAGATGATTTCGGGGCTTTAGTGTCCCCGCGGCCCGGTCTTCGACCAGGCCACCACCCCCAGGAAGCAGCCCGTGACAGCTGACTAACACCCAGGTACCTATTTTACTGCTAGGTAACAGGGGCATAGGGTGAAGGAAACTGCCCATTGTTTCTCGCCGGCGCCCGGGATCGAACCCGGGACCACAGGATCACAAGTCCAGCGTGCTGTCCGCTCGGCCGACCGACTCCCGACCGGGATGGATGTGGTCATGGTATGATATCATGTTATGTGTTATGTATGTATGATAACATGTTGTCGGTGTTCAGCTAGAGTATGTTCCAAAACCTTTTGAATGGGTAGCATCTCTGTTAAGTTGAACACTTGTTTGAGGGTCTCTAGTTAACTATAGAATTGCCTGCCTTAACTGCAGGTCAGCAGGCCCCTGCTGGTCTACTGATCCGTCTGTGGAGTATGGGCAGGTGTCAGATGCCAAGTTTGCTTCTATGCACATCTGTGCAGGGAGGCGTCGCAGATGGGGGTGTTAGTCTGATTTTTGTCCTTCAAGAGCCGTAATCTTGGAGTCTGGTGGCAGGGGTTGCCAGGGGCGTGCATGAGTGCATGTGGCCCCGTCCACACCCCTCTCAGTGATGGTATTTGTGCAACCCGTTCTTTAATAAGTGCATATGTGACATACTAATTGATCGTGAATATTTTAGTTTACCTTGAAAAGCTTCATAGAAGCACCGACCTCACCTAACCTTCTTAGTATGTTAAGATATGCACCTTATTGCTTCTTAATTACAATTATTATTTAACCTATACCGTTGATAGGTTAAGTAATAATTGGTCGTGTTTACCCCACAGTGGGTCCACCTGTTGGAGACTCTTGTGTCCCGAGTTAGTGCTCCGGTGATTATATCTTTAAGTGAACTGACTCTTGGTCTAGTCAATATCTTGGTCAACATGCAGGGAACGAACACTTTTATCATTATTGCAACCCAGGTTAGTTAGGAGTCCAGTCTTAAGCTTAGTATTTTTAGTCCATCCTGGAGCTCTTGTTATGACTCGCATTGTCTCATTTTGAATAGCCTCACCCCGTGTCCCCTGGCCAGGGGGAAGAGTGAGTAAGGCAGGCGCTGCATAACCAACCAGGGAAGGAACGGCGTGTATGGCTTGGGTGTGAACTGTTCAGCCAGATTGTTGTGACTCGTCGTCTGCACATGTATGGGAAAGAGTTTCAACACTGTGTGTCCCGCTCCTAGACGGGGCCCTGAGAGTGCTCTCATTATATTCAAGTGAGATTTCCTTTCTCCTTCAGATATTGAATTTGCCTCTTAAATGACATTTTATAATCAATCCACACTGCGAGATGTTGGTATTGTGTAAGTTACTGAAGGTTAATGTCTTCAGTGGTGCCTGTCTGGAGTGTTGACTTACATCTATACGCAGATATGTTTAGCCCTAAAATGCTGCATTGAGATGTTGCTTTATCTTGAGTCAGTTGGGCTCTACTCACAAGTGAAGGAGCCGTGACGACCAATGTTATATCACCAGCATAGCCTGGTACTATAACCCCTTCTGTGAATGTCACCGTAGCGAGGTTTTTTCCACGAGGATATTAAACAACCTGGGCTAAGGACTCATTGTGGAGCCCCAGTCTCCTGCAGTTACTCGGGCTCACCATAGCCCGTGCTACTTGGGACTTTTTGTTCCAGGTAGCCAATCTTAAACAGTAACAACAACTCCTGCAGTTGGTAGTCTGACACTTGCCCCTACAGCCTTTCTGTGGCATATCTGTGACACAGGGAGCCTCGAATCTGTGCCACAAATTTATCACTGACTTTGTTTTTATTATTATTATCGCGTTTAAAACGAGTCGCGGGCTTGTAGGTTCAAATGTTTCTGTCCAGGTCAAGGAAGGTTACTACAGCCGGCCCGGAGTTCAGTGTCCATAGTTGTGTCGTTATGCAGTTGGCGGGAAACTGCTTAGTAGACATAAACAAAGCTGCTAGAGACTGAGGAAAGATGCACAGGTCTCGTAAGACCTTGTAGGGGTAACTGGTTGATGAATCCGGCCACACGGGTTGTAAGTGTAAACACCAGGGGTTGTAAGTGTAAACACCAGGGGTTGTAAGTGTAAACACCAGGGGTTGTAAGTGTAAACACCAGGGGTTGTAAGTGTAAACACCAGGGGTTGTAAGTGTAAACACTAGGGGTTGTAAGTGTAAACACCAGGGGTTGTAAGTGTAAACACAAGGGGTTGTAAGTGTAAACACTAGGGGTTGTAAGTGTAAACACCAGGGGTTGTAAGTGTAAACACCAGGGGTTGTAAGTGTAAACACCAGAGGTAAGTGCAAACACCAGGGGTTGTAAGTGTAAACACAAGGGGTTGTAAGTGTAAACACCAGGGGTTGTAAGTGTAAACACAAGGGGTTGTAAGTGTAAACACCAGGGGTTGTAAGTGTAAACACCAGGGGTTGTAAGTGTAAACACAAGGGGTTGTAAGTGTAAACACCAGGGGTTGTAAGTGTAAACACCAGGGGTTGTAAGTGTAAACACCAGAGGTAAGTGCAAACACCAGGGGTTGTAAGTGTAAACACCAGAGGTTGTAAGTGCAAACACCAGGGGTTGTAAGTGTAAACACCAGGAGTTGTAAGTGTAAATACCAGGAGTTGTAAGCTTTCATAGCTTTCCATGTGCTCTCACACACTCACTGTAAAGTGTGTGTGTGTGTGAGAGCCTCATACAAGTCTACGCACTCAGTGGTTGAGTACCTTCATACTCTTGCTACAGTCGCTATACTTCAGTACTCTCATACACTCACCGTACTTGATCACCCTCACACACACACACTCACCCTTGAACACCTTCACACACTCACTCACTGGCCCTGAATACCCTCACACACACACTTACCGATCTAGAACCCCCTGATACACTTCACCACACACACACACTTACCGATCTAGAACCCCCTGATACACTTCACCACACACACACACTTACCGATCTAGAACCCCCTGATACACTTCACCACACACACACACTTACCGATCTAGAACCCCCCTGATACACTTCACCACACACACACACTTACCGATCTAGAACCCCCCTGATACACTTCACCACACACACACACTTACCGATCTAGAACCCCTTGATACACTTCACCACACACACACACACTTACCGATCTAGAACCCCCTGACACACTTCACCACACACACACTTACCGTTCTTGAACACACTCACTATCCCTGAAGTCCCTCATTCGCCACACCCTTCCTATTATAAGCTTAATCGATGTTATGATAAAATTCCTCCTCCCCTTCATCACCTTCCCTCTCACCATCGTCATCATCAGTCATCATTACTCACCCATAGTTGCAATCACCATCACTTTCACCGTCGACACTATCTTCAACATCACACTATACATCTTCACCTCACTATCACCGCCATCAATCACCATCTACATCACCATCACAAACATCACTACACTATTTTAATGGGGATTAATAAGTAACAAGTCTGTAGTGAGACGAGGACTCACGAGTCATTTATGCCACCATTTACGAAACCTGTACATCCCTCATTAATTATAGTGAGTTTCTTTACATTTCTTAAATACTTTACGAGCTCCGAAACTTTACAAGTCATGTTTTTTTTTTATATAGAAAATCTGGAGGTGCTATGGCTCTTTTAAAATGTTTACTAAACAAAGTCGCCATTATTGTTGACAGATGCACAGGTTTCGTAAGGCGGTACCAGTCGTCTTCCTTAGTCGCCGTTATCAGGTAGATGCAGTTTGACGCCAACTGTGTGTTATCGTGTAGATAACGAGACGTCCGACTCTCGCTAACTTGTATTTTTCATCGGGTCAAGTATTTTCTGCAATGGAACCTATCAACGATCGACTAGGATAAGGGACCTAGTTTGATGCGTGTGCGTGAGTGTGGCTTTCAGAGTAGCGAGGCTCTGCGACGCCGGAAGGGACGTTGGACAGGCGAAAATAGGGCATAGTAGCGCGTTCGGAAGTGGGTTACGATAAGACTGTAGCGAGGGTTAGTTGAGCAATGTGACGGGCGAGCAGTCTGGCTGCGTCGCGCCTCCACAACGGTGTTCTTCTCTCCCTCTGTCTTGTTCGGTGAGCTGTCAGTCCACGGAGACGGAAGGAGCAGCAGTTTAGGACCCCGCAGCGTGTGCCTAGCTAGAGTGCTGGTTATCGACAGTGCAACTTAGTGATCGTGTGTGTGTGTGTTGACGGTGATATCGCTGGCCAAGCTCGATGTGGCAGCTCGTAGCGTCTCTCCTCATCACGGGCTTGCTGTGAGAATACTTGTTATCTCTTGAGAAATAATAGACTCCCTGGTATGCGTTAAACCGAGATCAGATAACCAGAAAGCTTAACAGTTCGCGGGTAGTTAATATCGCATGAACGATGTTCGGGTCCAGGAAGAAGAACAAGGAGCGCCCGGCGGTGGGCATCAGGTTCCAGTCGAACTCAGAGTTCGAGTCGAACATTTATGTCCCCTCCGCCAGAACGCCCCCACGTTCCGCCTCTCCCACACCACCCACTCTCCCACCGTCCCATGCACCTCCCCCAGCACCTCCAGCCGTCCTCAACAACAACAACATCAACAACGGTACGGTGTTGGAGGGGATGCAGGGAGCCTCGCTCAACCCGGACTATTACGAAGGACAAAACGTAGACAACATCGAACCCTGTCACGATTCCGATGACGACTTAATAGGTAAAGTGTTACTCTTATCTGTAATGTATCTTTTTTGTCAGTTAATTAAAATTAACGGTTCAGTATTATATATATATCTTTATATACTATTGCCTCATGTGGAACGAAGCGGACCAGTGGAGCGATTCACAGTGATGCGGTGGAGGCTGACTCCATACACAGTTTCAAGTGTAGATATGATAGAGCCCAATAGGCTCAGGAATCTGTACACCAGTTGATTGACAGTTGAGAGGCGGGACCAAAGAGCCAGAGCTCAACCCCCGCAAGCACAACTAGGTGAGTACAGTATTTACACCAAATGAGGCTCCGTCTAGTGACTGTAGACCTTAGCTCGTGTAGAAGACGTAAGTGTTCCACAGTCCGTGCTCGTTCAAGTCTTCCTCAGACCGTGCTCGTCCAAGCCCTCTTCAGACCGTGCTCGTTCAAGCCCTCCTCAGACCGTGCTCGTTCAAGCCCTCCTCAGACGGTGCTCGTTCAAGCCCTCCTCAGACGGTGCTCGTTCAAGCCCTCCTCAGACGGTGCTCGTTCAAGTCCTCCTCAGACGGTGCTCGTTCAAGTCCTCCTCAGACGGTGCTCGTTCAAGTCCTCCTCAGACGGTGCTCGTTCAAGTCCTCCTCAGACGGTGCTCGTTCAAGTCTTCCTCAGACGGTGCTCGTTCAAGCTGCCGGCGTCTCAAAAGGCTCGTGCCTGTACCTATTTTTCCCTACCCAAAAAAATATCAAGAGATAAATTAATAATATTTCATATTATGGTTTTGTACTTATTTTCCTGTTGAATGTTTGGAGGGTTGGTCAGCCCTCGCCCCGGCCGAGCGATGTGTATGTCTCGGTATAACTGTTCCGTCACGGGATTCCTTGCAGCAGCGGACAAGCCGATGCTCATCACACAACCCGTCCTCTTAAAAAGAACGTCACTTTTGGCTGGTATGCGCACTATGGCCAAATTTGGACGTAATTTGAAATGAAATCCACTCACAAAAGTGACGTTCTGTTCCGTTTTCTATTTGAGTCGTCCGGCGTACGCGCAGAGGTTATAAGAGGACACTTTAAATTAACGTTTTTCATAACGTTTTGAAACTTTATGAGAATTTCCTGCCCACCTAACCTATCAGAGGACCCTTAACTTACTGTTGTTGAAAAAAAAAATCCCAAATTTATTTTCATATTTTTTTCAATTTCAAATTACGTCCAAATTCGGCCATACTGGCAAACGGCCAAAAGCGACGTTCTTTTTAAGAGGACAGGTTGCATCACAACCCGGTAGATCCGCCACTTACAAGAAGATCTTGTCTCATTGGCTGTTGAAAACCTTCACTTGGGTCAGGTGTTCAACACAACATCACAAAAAATGGGTCAACAGGTTCATAACTGTTGGTAGAATACCGCGCCTCTGTCCCACACCTGCTCTCGTACAAGACAGTACATATATGACTTATTGCTTATTGTCAATATTTCGTTTATAAATAAATACATATGTGACATATTCCAAGTCATATTTTCCAAGGCACTAACTCTTCCTCTAAATTTTATTAAACAATAGAGATTTTATACAAAATTTGACAATATCCTTAGTTACTTTAAAATTTATTTAAATATTTTTGTTTATAAAACTGTAATATCACTATAGGTATAGGTTAAGTACTAATTGTAATATCTTAACATATTAAGCAGGTTAGGTTAGGTCGCTTGCTTATTGTCAATATCATGCTTATGAATAGGTGCATATGTGACATACTAATTTATTGTGAATACTTGAGTTTACCTTGAAAAGCTGAATAGAAAACCCCAACCTAACCTAACCTTCTTAGTATGTTAAGATATTACAATTAGTACTGAACCTTTACCTATATTGATATTACAGTTTTATAAAAATAATAAAACAAAACTAAAATATTTAAATAAATTGTAAAGTAACTCAGAATATTGTCAAATTTTGTATAAAATCTCTATTGTTTAACAAAACTGAGAGGAAAAGTTAGTGCCTTGATAAAAAAAAATTTTGCTTGGAATATGTCACATATTTACTTATGTATAAGCGAAATAGTGATTATAAACAATAACTCATATATGTGTGCTGTTTTGTGCGAGAGCAGGTTGCCACACCCGGCGGTGCCCGGGGCTCTGTCTCTGACTGCCTGCCAGTCTCTTTCTCTCCCATTCTTCCTCCCTATCCTTTATCCTTAATTACTATTCTCCCTCCTTCCCTCCAATTCTCCCTCATATTGTCTCTTCCTCCCTCCCATTTTTTCTACCTCACGGTCTTCCTCTCCTTGTTTCTACGTTCCCTTCCTCCATTGCTCCCTCTCTCCCACTCTATATACTGCTCTTCCTCGTCCCACCCTTCCTCCCATGCACTCCTTCAGTCGCCAAAACGTGCTTGAGTAACGTTGCCTCGACGTTGCCTCGACGTTGACTCGAAGTTGACTCGACGTCGGTAGCAGGTGGAAATTAAGTTGTGACAACACACTATAAACGATCAAACCCCCAGATCTCAGGCTTAACAGGCTCGTTGCTTGTCACAATACTAACCAATCCCACCTTAAGGATGGTACTGGGGTCGACCCCAGCCACCCTATGACACCCGCCACACACTCACACATCACCCTGCAAAGTTTGGCGAGGCTATCTCTAAGTGTCTGGTCCCCCAACCTCGAACAGATAAACATTCTCTCTGGCTTGCACCCATCGCTGCCGGATCTTACCTTCTGGAGCCACTGAGGACGGTGGGTCGAGCCCCTCCACCTTCTTGGAAAGCCTAACGGAACAAAGTATTTCTGAAAGCAGTGAAGATAATTTGGAAGAATAATGGTCCGAGTATTAAGAGTTATTATGAATCCACAATAAGGAATATAACTTATCAAAGTGCAAAGATATTAATGTTTTAATGAAGGTGTCTTGTGGTCCGTATAATTATCATTAACCACCATTAACCACCTAATGCCTCTGAGAATTGCATAATTAAAAAAGAAATATATAACATATTTCTTCACTACACTTTCCGTGCTGACCGTAGCACGTGCAAAAACATGATTTTACTCGGAAATAAATTCATTTTATAGCGAAATAAGACAAAAATAGGTGGCAGGCCTCTGCATGCCCTCCGAGCACCGAATCATACATGTGCTAAAAAAAGTTTTCAGATTAAGAAGGATTGGTCAATAATGCTTAAGGAATATAGCTTATTAAATGAACAAATCCACAAGGGCCGTGACGAGGATTCGAACCTACGTCCGAGATCATTCCAGATGCTGCCTTAATCGACTGAGCTACGATATGGAAGCTCAGTCGATTAAGGCAGCGTCTGGGATGCTCTCGGACGTAGGTTCGAATCCTCGTCACGGCCCTTGTGGATTTGTTCATTTGATGCATCACGCTATTGTGATTTATGTGTGTAATATAGCATATTTGTGAGCAAAGATATAACAAAGACTGGCCGTGTCCGGACACGTGGAAGCTGCCATAACGTCGCCCGTCTCCGGACACATGTATCCGAATGGTCAGTTCTCCAGCTGAGCCGGCAACGTGACCAGCTAAATGATGAGTTAGTTGAACAGTATTACCTTCCCTCTGACTCATCAAACGAAAAGTAGTATTGACCTCTGTCGAGCCGCAGGTGAACCACACATAACATAAACACTTAACACACAATATTGCAGCACCGTCCTTACACCTGTATAACATTCAAATAACGTTGTAACAACGTCATTACGGGTGTAGGACGTAATAATAACGTCGTAACAACGTCATTATGGGTGTAGGACGTAATAATAACGTTGTAACAACGTCACTACGGGTGTAGGACGTAATAATAACGTCATTATGGGTGTAGGACGTAATAATAACGTCGTAACAACGTCATTACGGGTGTAGGACGTAATAATAACGTCGTAACAACGTCATTATGGGTGTAGGACGTAATAATAACGTTGTAACAACGTCACTACGGGTGTAGGACGTAATAATAACGTCATTATGGGTGTAGGACGTAATAATAACGTTGTAACAACGTCATTACGGGTGTAGGACGTAATAATAACGTTGTAACAACGTCACTACGGGTGTAGGACGTAATAATAACGTTGTAATAACGTCAATATGGGTGTAGGACGTAATAATAACGTTGGGGCAACGTTGTCTGACGTTATAGTTACGTTCTCTGCCACGTGACCGGCAGAGCAGGTACTAATTTATTAATTTAATAATTTAGTACTAAGGCCTACTACTAATTTAGTACTGAGGCCTACTTTATTTACCTGTCATTAGACCTTCTTAACGATGCTTTGTTCTTGTGTTCTCAACTTACTGGACAATTACCACTTGCATCAGAGGGGAAGTTATAATGTTTAATTGATGTAGGGATCTGGACACTTTTTCCTGTTACACTGTTCTTTAATGTTGAGTTTAACAGTCTTGAAGTTCACGAGGTGGTGGTGGTGTGTGAGGCGAGCAGTGTGTGTTACCCCCTCACACTACCCACGCTGGTGTCACACTACGCACGCTGGTGTCACACTACGCACGCTGGTGTCACACTACGCACGCTGGTGTCACACTACGCACGCTGGTGTCACACTACGCACGCTGGTGTCACACTACCCACGCTGGTGTCACACTACGCACGCTGGTGTCACACTACGCACGCTGGTGTCACACTACGCACGCTGGTGTCACACTACCCACGCTGGTGTCACACTACCCACACTGGTGTCACACTACCCACGCTGGTGTCACACTACGCACGCTGGTGTCACACTACGCACGCTGGTGTCACACTACCCACGCTGGTGTCACACTACCCACGCTGGTGTCACACTACCCACGCTGGTGTCACACTACCCACGCTGGTGTCACACTACCCACGCTGGTGTCACACTACCCACGCTGGTGTCACACTACCCACGCTGGTGTCACACTACCCACGCTGGTGTCACACTACCCACGCTGGTGTCACACTACCCACGCTGGTGTCACACTACCCACGCTGGTGTCACACTACCCACGCTG